CATACACACACACACACCCACACACACACAAACACACACACACAAACAACACAACACATATATATATGTATTAATATATATACTGTAGCTAATATTTCATCCATACATAAATATATATAAATATATATATATATATATATATATATATATAATATAATATATATATATAATATTAGTGGAAAAGGACGTCAGGCACATATATTACCGTCCCCGACCGCTGTGCAGAGGCAGAGAGCACACCAGTTCCTTGAGCGAGACAACTGCTGGAAAAGGTGCCACTGACACCAGACACCCACTCCAACTTAGCGAATGTAGAGCATAATGAATGAAGATGTAAAAGGCACTGCGATTGGTTGCTTACGCCAGCGTTACCTGAATCGCATTGCTGCCAAATCGTTTTGATGTGATCCCAAAGGCCGCCATTGCTCGAGCTTATAGGGAGGGTGATCTCATTTAGCGCACCACGGCGTTGGAAGTGGAATCCTGCTTTCATTCAGTCCCGTGGACACGCTTGGCCTGGTACGTATGCTAAAATGAGTACATTCTATTTATAGCACTACGCAAGCCAGATGTCAACTGCTTGTCCACATTTCACAAACTCTGAGATGTTCAGATATATTTTCTTTTGCTGCTGCTGTTCAACGCGGTTTGTAGTCCCGAGGTCAACGTGTGAAGAGCACAGTTTCAAAACGTTTTTCCAAATAATAACTAACAAAAATACCATCGCTGGCAACTGCACAGTGACGTAGACGCCGATGACGCATCCGAGTGGCAGCTTCTGCTACTGTGTTGCCGAGTTCGTTTCCTTCGTGTATATTATGGTAAACGCCGCTTCGAAAGGACGAGGATATCACTTCACAAGCACTGTTATCAAGCACACGTATCGATGTAGAAAGATCACACTAAATTCGCCTGAGATAAGCAGAAAAAGAATAACTCCTTACCTGCTTCTACTCAGTGTGGGCAGGTGAGAGCGTCATGACGTCATCACCAGCCCACTGCTTGCCCGATTTACACATAATTGCATTCACATATTATAAGGCGAAAAATAAGGGTAGACGTAACATCGAAACATAAAGATAAGCATGTTAAAAATACGTGGACCATTAATAGAATGAAAAAACTGTTAAGAAATCAATACTAAGGAAATGTAGTGTATATTAGTCCCCATAAAAATAACGTTTTCTATGTTATGATCATTAAGAGCATGGACTCTACCATATGAATACCATAGGCTAAAACACAATACATAATTATGTATATATATATTATTATATATAGTAATATATATATAATATATATATATATATATATATATAATATATATATATATATACATACATAGTAATATATATATATATATATATATATATATATATATATTATTATATAATAAATTACAAATATATGTCATTGCATAACACACACGCAGATGTATATAATTTGTATACTCATGTGCATATGCAACACGCACACAACACACACAACACAACACACACACACACCACACCAACACACAACACACACACACACACATCACACACGACACACATATATATATATATATATATATATATATATATATATACATTTATATATGTATATATATACATGTGTATTAATGTACTTCATACATACATATACACATACATACATACATACAACATACCCACTTTATATATATGTTATATATATGTATATATGTATATATATAATATATATATTATATATGTATAATATATTATACATATATCAATGGTTATATATATATTTATATATAATATATATAGATATATATATACATATAGTATATATTTATATATAATTTAATATATATTAAATATATATAATATATATATAG